GTTGATTACAACAAAGCGCTGTCCAGATTGAATGTTATGACTACAAATAGCGGTCTTTCGCAAGTGATACCAATCGCGACAGAGATTCAATTCAGTTCATCATGTAAAAATATGCAAGCTAGCTCCCCTTCAGCACTTCAATGATGAAAAAAAAAGCGTGGCTGAACCCTCAATCTAGGAATCGTTATATCAGCTAGGAAAGTAAAACACGTCGTCACAGAGGCGGTTGAACGTTTATTATGCATTGTTTCGACACATGGGTGAAGTAACAAATGCAACAGCAACAAATTGCGAAGTCATACGAAGAACGACACGCAGGGCGAAATTTTTAGTGCGCACCACAAGCAGAAAGTGCGCACGAAATTAGAATACACGAGACGAGTGCGGGCTAACAACTGTCGCAGCTCGACACTTAAAGCGCACTGTTCAAACAGAAAGACGCACGGAACAAATACGCACGTATACACAGGACAAGCGGGAACAACAGTCATATTTCTTCCAGTGTGAGCAGCGCGCTCTTTTCATAAACGCGGCCGCGAGTGAAGTGACCTTTGCGCCCTCCCGAATCACGAGTCTGATACGCGGTGCGCACGAAAGTCCACGCTCCGTGGAGGCGGGGCTCATTGAAGCACTAAAGACGAGTTTCAGAGCACGCCAAGCGCGAGGTCCTCGGATCATCTTGCTACCGATGAAGGAAATGTGCTGAAGTTGCGGAGCTCTGAGGACCTCCAAACGGTGTATGTTGTATAAAAATGTCTTGCCATTAAAGTTCTAACAATGTATGTTCTGAGATTGATTGATTTGTGGGGTTCAACGTACCAAAACCACCATATGATTATGAGAGACGCTGTAGTGGAGGGCTCCGGAAATTTCGACCACCTGGTGTTCTTTAACGTGCACCCAAGTCTGAGCACACGGGCCTACAACATTTCCGCCTCCATCGGAAATATGTATGTTCTATGGCGTAGTAATTAGCGCCACGCCCTGTAGTACAAGGTCGCTGGTTCGATGCCCTGTGACAAAAACTTTCTTCACAATTTTTTGGTAAACATTTTACGTCATTTCCGTGACGTAAATACATCAGTGGAGCCATGGTGGATTTCGGCATAAAACACTTTCGTGTAAAAAAAACATGCTGAAAGGCCACGGAACATTTGGTGCTATTTATAACAATAAAAACTAACAGTGAAATATATCAATGTGTTAATAATTATCTAAAACATGCTAGACAGTTCACAGTTTTATGTATTCTACTGCTGACTAAACTTTCATAAATTGATTGATTTGTGGGGTTTAACGTCCCAAAACCACCATATGATTATGAGAGACGCCGTAGTGGAGGGCTCCGCAAACTTCGACCACCTGGGGTTCGTTAAAGTGCACCCAAATCTGAGCACACGGGCCTACAACATTTCCGCCTCCATCGGAAATGCAGCCGCCGCAGCCGGGATTCGAACCCGCGACTTGCGGGTCAGCAGCCGAAGAACTTTCATAAACATAAAGCCAGCAACAGAGCTATGGAAGTGGTAAGATAACTTTCAATTCTGAATTCATATAAATATTGTGGGGAGTGCTGGAGGAGTGAAATCACATGCAATGTGTGTTCTCATTCAGCAAAAAAAAAATGTGTTGTCACTAAATTAAAGAAATACGTAATAGCCTTGCAGTGCTGATGTATTTGGTACAATAGGAAGATTTGTCATCCTCATCTTTCTGTGTAATTAGTAGAGTGATCTTTACTGTGACATAATCGATTGGATTCGAAATGAACAGCCTCTCCAGAATATCTAGCGCTTCTTAATTGATATGTGGGGTTTAACATCCCAAAACCACCATATGATTATGAGAGACGCCGTAGTGGAGGGCTCCGCAAACTTCGACCACCTGGGGTTCGTTAAAGTGCACCCAAATCTGAGCACACGGGCCTACAACATTTCCGCCTCCATCGGAAATGCAGCCACCGCAGTCGGGATTCGAACCCGCGACCTGCGGGTCAGCAGCCGAGTACCTCAGCCACTAGACCACCGGGGCGGGGCTATCTGGTGCTTCTTTGTAAAAGCATTGCCAAGTTTGTTTTTTCTCCTGTTCAACGCAGCTTTTCAAGCTATTCTTTAAACACTACTCATCACAAACCTGCATTTTTTCCTATGAGTCTAGTTCTGTTACGAAAATCTGTAATTAATCGCATGTGCTGCAATACAAGCACACTTCCATGGCTGTTGCACGCACAGTCCATACAATTCTCAATAAGGAACTTCCTGCATGGCATGCTCAGTGAAGCCTTTCCTAATCATGGTAATTTTCATTGATAACAATCGCATGCGCACAGGCTTTTTTTAATTGCCCTAATGTTCTGTGTAAAAAAAAAGTCCATATACTGCCAAGCATGTCTATTCTCCATTTGCAAGCGAAAGTGCGTCAGCACTGCTGAGCAATCTTGACTAAAGTGGAGAGAAAATGCTAGTATTTCACACGAGTGGAACAAAGGGTACCAAGAGGGCCGATTTGGCTTCGAAAGAAAATGCCTCCACCAGTCGAAAGTGGCTGGCGACACACCATCTTTACAGGGATTAGGAGATGAATCAAACCTTTAAATGTTCTCTTGCTATCGCAAAGTTTTAGTTGAAAACATAGCAAAAAGGCAGCGTCACTCGCTGCATTGGCCGCATTTTCTTATGGGCACATTTTTCAGAGTTACGTCGGGTCACAGGCTAAAATAGCGACCTGCCAGCCTCACTTATTATAATATTCCAATTTTTTACTATCACATTCGTAGCGCACTCTTAATGCTAAACTCATTTTATCTCAGCTGTTCCCTCCACTTACTAAAAAGATATGTATTTCCAATGCCTAGTGAACTGAAGTGTGGCTTCTATAAGTATCCTAATACTCATAAATTATTTCTAGTTTTTGGAAACAAAATGAAACTGAAATTACTCCTCTAAAAATTCACCATAACCTTCAAAAGGTAACTTAAATGTGTGGCAGTTTGGGCTAGTTGGTATGACATGACGATAGTTATCGCGCGAAAACAGAACGACGACAAAGACAAGTCTTTCTTGTCTCTTTGTCGTCGTTCTGTTCTCGCGCTATATCTATCATCTTTAAAAGGTACCACAGCCACTCAGAATGTATATAGTGTGCGATATAGGAGGAAATAAAACACCTCTTAATTAGAGTGATGTGTAATTCATGTTTTCTACACATTCCCAGAGGCAATTTCAGCAATTTAGAGCAATGTTTATTTCTGAAGAGGAAAACATGTTTTTTGTGCAGTATCGAGTCAAGCAGTTCGAACCAAGCACCATAGAGTTTCCTAAAATTAACTAGAGGGCACTCGGGCGCTGTGATCATTCAGCGACCATGGGAATGATGGGTAGTACGCACATCTGCCTAGTCTTCGTACTTGCGGGCAGCGAATCGTACTTGCGGCTTCGTTCAATGCTGTGTTTCGGTTTTGGTTTGAAATAAAGATTCAAACCTTTTGAACTTCGTGACCAAATTTGGAAAGGTAAGTCTAAAATATTGAGGTGGTGAAGCACAATCGCTGAACATTTGCTGATTTTTGTTTTGTGAGAAAATAGCTTCAAGCCACACGAACACACACTGAGCCAAAATCAGGCCAGAAGTACTACCCATCATTCCCATGCTCGCTGAAGCACCGTGCGTTGCAGCTTCCATAGACACTAGCGCCAGAGTTCCCTCTAGTGTATATTAAGAAACTCTATGCCAAGCACACAGCAAATAAACTCAGAAACACATCCTTATGCCTCACGCATTACATAAATTTTCAGTTACGTGACAAAACACTGCGACACTATAGAAAAATTTTATGGCGAATTCTATTGGGAGAGCAGGAGCACTCTGAAGTACGCTGAAAGTGCTCTCTTCAGAGCTGGCGTGTTTCAGTGGTCGAACAGGTGCAGGTTCACTGTCATCCATTGGTAGAGCAAGAGCACTTTCGCTGCGCCGAGAGCAGCCAAGAGCAGTTTGTAGTGCTCTCGCCTGAAAAGCAGAGTAGGCACAGTATGACGAGTCACGTGGCCTTTGAACGTTGCAGTCTCCAAATTTTTCTCCAGCCGGCAAGTGCGGCGTCAACAGCAGCAACCATGTGTAGTTTGACACTGCTGCTTTGTACAAATGGCTACGATTACAGCTGGAAGTCTGCCGACTGCGTCTTTGAACAAGCACCCTAGGTATTAGGAAAATGAACTTTTGGCTGACTGATTTCTCACATATTTTGCTGCTGCCCCACAGAGAATATGCAGAGACTTGGAATGTTTCGATCACATGGTCTTCGTACTCATCACCCCCTTCACCTGCCTTCCGGGAGCGCGCCGCATTCCCGTCACAGGTTGAGTGGCCCTGCTCTCAGTGCTCTTCCCCCTACTTCTCACTGCCAGGCCCCTCTACTCCTGTTCTCCCAGTGGAATTTGCCATTAGTAAATTACCCTTCCCCACTACTGAAAGCTTGAGGCTTACAGCAAAAGGAAGCTTGGTGAGAAAACATACAAAAGGAAAATGATTGTGGTGACACCACCTTGCAAGTTCCCACATGAACCTGCTGTGACGTCATACATGTTGACGGAGTCTAATGCAGCCGTCACAATTTTCTATTCATAAAAATGACGTGCACTGTCCCCTAGGGAAGGCCAGAAGCTTTCCGCAAAAAGCTACTAGAACTTTCATTCACTGAATGTGGCCCACACACCAAAATGCCTCGAAAAATGTGGCATCACACTTACATTTGTACAGAAAGATTTCAGCGTAAAATTTTCAACCTTTTTTACCACTGTTTCTTCTTTCATTGCTGAACCTGTTTAGTCGAACATTCTGCATGAGTTCCCGTAATTTCATGTCAAGTACATAAGGTCACTACGGAAATATATTGCGATTGGATGGAGTCCATGTTTAGCCTGTAAAATTGTGAAGAAATGAGGGCGCACGGAACAGTTTTAATAGAATATGTTGATAAACTTCACGAGTCAAAAACGAAATAATTTGTCACTTCAAATAGAGTCATTTCCTTTTACTGCTCCTCTGCAGAACAACAGCAAAGATCAAGCTCTTCATTTTCAAGCCCTAATACTACAATGCTATGCACACACACTGCTACACAATTAAAGATTAGAGCAGCAAAGCAACAATTACAAGCTAATTACCCGGCGTGGCTTGCATGAATGCGCACATAATCTGATGCAACATTACTTAAAAAATAAGCCTGTAGAGTTCTACATCCCTGCATACAGACATATGCGGCCCAGCTGAAAATTGCTTCTGTGGTACTTAGTGGGAGGCCAAAACACACAAAAAAGGAACACGTTTATATCAACACCCAAGATCAATAACTGTACCAAAAGTGGGGCAGCTTGGTCTAGTTAGTATGGCATGACGATAGTTATAGCGCGAGAACAAAACGACGACACAGAGACAAGAAGGACATGAAAAGCTTTGCTCGACATACACAATAGGAAATGTCTGTCGCAGTTAGCCAAATAATAAAATCAAAACTGCTGTAGCATTCCGAGGAGCACTACAGTTCAATCGCCCATGCTGGAATTGATTGTACCACACAGACATATACTGATCGCCGTTTTGCTTGCATAGTCCCTTCTTGCTTGCCAGAAAACATCCAACATGCACATGCAATACAGGTGCAATTCAATAACAAAAACTCTTACGATTTCTTACTGATACCAGTATGTGAAAGGAGCCCATTTAATGAATATCCGATACCAAAAAGTATCATTTAACGAAACCAGAAGGGATCAAGAAAATGTGTTTCATTTAAAAGGAGCTCTGTCAAGAGAGAGACAAACACCAAGCCAGAAACCAACCATGAAAGAGGCAGCTGTTCCTTTAAGGCAGGTATTCAGTTAAAAAGATTTCTACTTTTGAAAGTACATTACATAAGAACACGCTGTTGTTACAAACAGACGCTACTGTATACTGGCTTTCAGCAAGACCTCGTGCATCGCGTTTCTAGCGAGTACAAGCTGCACAGCAAGTAGTATATACAACTGCTGCCTCTATTCGCTAAACTGCTTTCTCATCAGCAAGCGACCCCACACATTTCGAAGAAGTGCAACAGAGCCACACATTGTCTATAACTGAACCCACTCGATATCGGACAACTATGATGAAAACTGTACAATGCGCTGCCTTTGTAGAAAACAAGAGGTTACAACACCTTACACAACACAAGTCATGCCATTTCATGAGACCGAGATAATAAAGCCTTAAACAGGCGCCAACATTGTGTTGACTTCTGATATATCTTAAAAAGATTCTCACCAGTGTTGCGGAATGAGCACCTCCCTTCCATTCCATTCTGGGGAATCAGAAATTGTCGTACTTCCATTCACTTCAATTCCTCGGAATGAAATAACTTAACCGAATGGCTGGGCAGTTCAATTGCATTTCTGTTGCTCCTCAATGTAGAAAAGACGTCTTGATAGTTTTATCAAGAATGAACCTCCTATAAGGTTGAGGTCATCACATGCATTAAGAACTCCAAGAGTATGCAAAACATGTTAGGAAGGGCTAGTAGCCTGGTGACCTACAGTATTTATGTGGTCAGAATTTTTTGATGAATGGCGATGTTTCAATACTGTGTAAGCTTAAATGCGTTTGTGATAAATGACATAGCGTATTTTAATGCTGACAAAAGTTGTGTTCAAGAAGACTGAGTTTGGCACGCCTCTAGAGCGGTATTCATTGTGGAGAAAAGTAAGATTTGGTTAATGAATAACAAAACCTTCCAGATGTGCTTGTATTCGTTGGAACAGTGCATCACTGAGGTAAAAGGCACTGTGTGCTTTTGCATTGAATACAGAACACTGAGCTGCACTGCTCGTCAACACTCGCACTTTTCAAGCGCACCTCACAAGCACAAATGGGGTGAAGAGAACTTTCCCTGTGTTCACCTGTGCGCATGTATACAATGTCTTCGTTGTCACGAAGGTTATTCACGCGTGTCGGGTACTTAACTGCTCGTAAGATAAAGATCAGGCTATGCATAGAGCATTCGCCACTTCAAAGCACAGGTATAAATGGAAACCAATGTGCAGGGATAACTCTGCATGTGCAGGATAATATCTGCTGGGATAATAAATTTTGTTGTACACTAGCTCATGCCATGGCTTCTCTTTTGCCGTTTGGCAGATCATACACACTTTTACACCACACCTACCATCGGCTGACTGATTAAAACGTACGTAGAGAGTTCGTCGAAAAAACAAGTACTCGGGCTTACATGACTAAATTTGAGCATGATATTACAGCAGTAGCAATTAAGGGTATAGCAAAATACGTTTCTTCTCAATGCCCACTTTGCCTGGAGATACAAACAATTGTATATGCCGAGTCGTATCGACCGAGCAAACAAAAGATGCAAAGGAAAAGAATAACGATAATATTCAAACGATCTCACCCCAGAGCAGTGAGAGTGCAGGCTGACCAGCTCTCAACTCGACAAGACCTGACCTCCCGGGCTAGAGATGTAGCAGCCACTCGCAGCTTTTTAAACTTGGAAGAGACCTCACAGACCTTTACCGATTGAGTATTGGGCAAAGGCGCTCATGTGTCTATACAGGGGAGACATTATTGCAAAGTGGTTGGGGTAGTGGAGTATGAGGTGAGACGGCACGCAAGCTGGTATACGAAAGCTTGTGGTGAACACAAGCATTCCGCCATCATCAATATGCATAATAACTTATAGAAACGCTTTGTCAAGTACACATCCGAATCGCCAACAGTGACGGAAGAAAAATCAAAGAAGGGGGATGGGGGAGACAACAGGTTGGGGCGCAGCTGAGAAGAAAGGGTCACTAGGCGCAACGGGTGGATAGTTATGGTGCCACCGTAGTTCTGCACGATGGATACCAACGGCATAGAGCCGTGGTAACACGAAGACAAACTTCGGTGCAACACAACTTATAAAATGAATTGCAGTAGGCATGTTGCCTATCAGCAACATGCTTACAAGCGATTTAAAAAATACTGCTTTATTATTAAATTCGAGGCTCTGACAAATGTCCAGAAAACTAAAAAAGAGTGCGTAGACAAAAACATGCTCGATTTAAGAAAAAAAACGGAATTACATTTTCGTTCCGTTCTGTGCAAAAGGCGCTTACAATTTCATTCCCATTCTATTCCAAGGTCGTGAAAATGTGGAATGATTCCAGATTATTTCTAATTTCGGAGTGGAAATTCCGCAACATTGATCCTTACTACACTTCAAAGCACACAGTCAGAAAAACGAGTGATACACACACACACGGCTAAGACACAAAATGATGAAGATGAAGTGATCACACAAGTGAGGTTTGACGAGCACGTTCTGATGACAATTTACAAGATCACTGCTTCTTTCTCAAACAGCTGTGGCGGCATCGAGCAACTTAACGTCATTGCAGTGCCGACAATAACTCTGTAAAATGACCTCAGACTACAGTAAACATTGAAAGCTTACCAAACATGAATATGCAACGGTAAGTGTAGGTGAAACAAGAGTAATTTACAAATTTGCCCCAGTATCCCTCACCCCTCCCGCCAGCAATCACCACACCGTTGCCAGACCCTCTCACAATAGATCTCTCACTTGGTCTCTGAGAGAGCTGAGCACTTTGTACTGACTGTCCGCGTTGCCCACATTGTGGCACACTTCCTGTAGCAACACAGCGACGAGTTTCAGCGTGCTCTGCCGGCGCAGCTGCCAGTTGTCGATTCGCTCAGTGTCGTCGAGCATCTCTACCCTGTCCAGGAGGTCATGTAACGTCTCGACGCTGTCGATGATGCTCGGCACCATCGTACCACATGGCAGCAGGCTCAGGCGCGTGCCCTCGATGGCCACCATCACCGACATGTCCGGAGACACTGTCACCGACCGGGTGATGCACGGCATGGGTCGGTGCACGATGTGGACAAAGTTTACTGACCTGTTGCTCAACGTCTTCAGCCAGAAGCTGGAAGTGTCCACTTCCATCATGTCCATGACTGTGAGCTTTTTTTTCTTCTTCTTCTGGACTGGCGAAGGTCCCTTTGAGAGAATTCGCTTCTTCGGGGTGCCTCCGGTGTTCTTAGACGCGGCGCACGTTTTGGCGGGGCTTAGAACCTTGGCTGGTGTCATCCTCTGAAACAAAGACACCACTGCCTTGCCTGTGTTGCTGTAAAGGACGGACTCCACTTCTGGTGACAGTGCATCACTGGATGCTTCCTGTGTAAATAAAAGAAATAGTACGCCGTCATGCTTGAGAGCTTAAGAGCCCTATCCGTTCTGCATGCGTAGGGGTAACATGCAATGTAAGTGAAAGAGCTTCTGTGCATGAGATCCAGAGTGCATACAGAAAGCGACAACACTCAAGGAGTCTAACCACAAGTTCTGCAGAAATCGGCAAGCTTTGTGGAAGAGGCCTACCAAGTTGTCTCTCAACATGCTCTTACCAACTCTGCGGTTAGATTTTGTTGTAGGTAATATTTTTTCTTACTGATCCACTATATACTGAGGTTTTGTTGTAGGTAATATTTTTTCTTACCGCTCCATCATATACTGAACTTTGCAGCAGTACAATGAATCTGTAGCTTCGCCTTTATGATTCACTCTTAGTTAGAGGGTGTAATCATACTACGTCTCATCTATCGAAAGAGCAGTACTTGTAAGTAAAAAAATTGCAGTTTCGCCTCGAGGTCACCACAATGAATGCGATAGCAACAAGTAGAAATGCCACGTGAAGAGCGGCAAACAGCTCTAATTGTGCAGCACGTTACTCAAGGACAAAGGACACGCGAAAAAGTCACACACAAGGTAAGCGCAAACTAACAACGTTTACAGCTCGACACTTAAAGGGACACTAAAGGCAACTATTAAGAGGACGTTGATTGTTGAAATAGTGGTTCAGAAACCTCGCAGTGTTACTTTTGTGCTAAGAAAGTGCTTATTTTAAAATAAAGTCACGTCCTTAGTAGTCCGCATCGAGTTAGCGCACCTCAAATTACCCGCCTCAAGCGGAACGTCTCACATCGCTGCTGCCGTGCACAATGTTGCGCGGCTTTACTGCATGGTTGCCGACACTAGTAGCAGCAGAACGAAAGTAGCGGGAGCCACAGCAGCAACAACGAGCATTGAAAAATTACCTGCAATGGCCTCTTAGACGGCAGACGTGCTTGGTTCAACTGGGCCTCGCTAGATGGCACGACCTGTCCAGAATAACCAAGCGAAAATGGAACTTTTGAACAACTCATGCCATTCCCCACAGCAACATCCGGCGGTTCTTTTTTCCATGAATCAAACATAAACAAGCAGTGTTTTATTACATCTCTTAATGCATGGAAGGTTCTTTATTTAGTGCAGCTAGTTTGATTACTAGTGATTAATTGTAGGTGGTTGGTCTGACGTCATCGGGATCATTTTGATTACTAGTGATTAATTGTAGGTGGTTGGTCTGACGTCATCGGGATCATTTTGAAAATGTCCTACAGTGGCGCATGCATTCTTGTGCATTTGCCTTAATTTCCTGGAACGTAGGCCACTGCTGTGGATAATATTGTCGTTTTAGACGTCATACATTGAGCTTTCACTCTGATGTAAATTGTTATTAGACTTCAACGTCCCTTTAAAGTACCCCTGACAGCAATAGCTTTGTGGCTTTTTTTGTCATCACTGGTAGTGTTGTCTTTATAATTCCGAAATTTAGTCATAAATGCTCGAATACATCATTTAATTAATGGCACCATTGTTAACTCAGAACTATTTTGCATCAATTTGAAATGTCCACCCGAATACTATAAGAAACGAGCACCCCAGAGCGGGGAAACGCCTGAGACCATGTGCTCTTGGGCTTTGGTGACGCTGAACGTGTAGTTTTCAAGTCGAGAGACCTGCGCGTGGTGAAGAATGAAACGAACTGGGCGATTTAAGCATGTCCATCTCAGAAAAAAAAATTACAGCATATCCACAAAGTGAATGATGATGAGTGGGGCGAAGCATCCGTCAGTTCGTCCATGTTTCTGTCAGTCTGTTTGTTCTTGCTTCTGTCCGTACATGCGTCCATCAATCCGTGCATCCGCCTGCCCGCGTGTCAGACAGACAGACAGGCGATGAACGGACGTGGCCAGCGGATGATTCACAGTTTGCGGTTAAAACCCTCTGAAGCTTCGCCTAACTCATCATCATTCACTTCATGGATATGCTGCGAAGTGGTTACTACATACATGCAGGCAACGACTAACCCATGCCTAAAGAAGCTTCCCTATAAAAAAAAGCACTTTTGGTGTAAGCAGCCAAAACAACCTTGGGAGCAAGCTGACAACAGAGCGAGTGGGGTGACGAACAACAGTGCTCGCTGAATGCCAGTCGGGTATTGTACACGCCCCGCGAATGTTTTCAGTATGGGTATGCGAAAATTTGAAATTTCATTATCTCTCAAATGGTGCTCGGTATTTGATTCGTGCACTGAAGTTTAACTATTCGAACATCGCAAAGCCACTTACAGTGAACATTCCTTTATAAATGACTCAAAATTTCCACGTGCTTCACCTCATCACATTCTCGTATTGCAACAAAGCTGCCTTTCGCGCTCTGCCACAGTCGAAGTTTTTAAAACACAGTCAACGTCCAATTAAAAGAGACCCCTCCAGATTTTAAATATGCTTCAACACATCACACTTTCCAATTACTGCAAAGCTACTTTTCACACTCCACTATGGTCACACATGCATTGACTCGAGAAATTGCTCGTTCCAACATGGAGCTGAGAGACAAGGCAGAAGTAGAGGCTAAACTAATCTGTTCAGGACCTGAGATTTGGGCAACAATTGCAAAAAATCGGAAGCCAAAAATATTTAGCATCCAAAATTTCAGATGAAGATAGCATCATTGCCAACATGTGTGAAATGTTGTAAGCAATACTTTGGTTGCACCAAATCATGTACACAAATATAA